TTATGAGGGCAAACTTTATTGGTATCAAAGGTGTGGCTGTACATGTAAAACTGTCAAACTCCTGGATGACTTTTGTTGGACCATCGGCCACCATCCCTTGATAACTCAATGTGGAAGCCTCAAATGTACTATTTTTTGAGACTGACAAAGATGTCAGAAACTGTCTTTACATGTATACTGGATGATTTCAATTGTGACATGCTGGACCTTGACAAGCCACCCAAGGAGGGCAGAGATTTGGTCGATGTTATAGACATTTTTGCCTTTGAAAACTTAATTTGTGAAGTGACCAGGATGACAAATAACTGGCAAACATTGCTTTATCTTGTATCAACAAATAGAAAATTGCGGGTCTTGCAGGCTGGGGTTTCTAATCTCCACATGAGTGATCATACACTTATTTATGCTATTCTTCATGCCTCATCACGGAAATGTAGATCACAGAAGATCTGTTTCTGCAGCATGAAAAACTTTGATTTGGACAAATTTTGCGCTGATTTAAATTGTGCACTTTTCGTTATGGTTATGAATTCCTGTGAGGATAAAGACAGCAAGTTATTTGCATTTCAGTCCATGCATATTTCTATAATTCTGAATGAACATGTGCCTTTGAAAACGTGTGTTTTCCTTGCAACCAGGTGCCGTTCATGAATGAGGTGTGGAGAAAAGCAATTAATGTGATTAAATGTAATTTAGGCAAAGTTAACCGTAAAGCAATGCTGCTCGGCAGGTTTCCCAACTATGCTGGGGGTTGCCCAGTGCCTCTAGCAGGGGCACCTCATGACTTGTATACACAGTTGCTTGCTTTCAGTTCTTCGCAAAGTGTTGCCACAACAGTTTGTGCTTGCCATTTTGTGCTGTGGTTTTTACTCTTCCTCAAACAATGGCTACTCTCTGGACCAACAACAGTTCATGACTTGTATACACAGTTGCTTGCTTTCAGTTCTTCGCAAAGTGTTGCCACAACAGTTTGTGCTTGCCATTTTGTGCTGTGGTTTTTACTCTTCCTCAAACAATGGCTACTCTCTGGACCAACAACAGTTTGTCTACTGGTTTTTACGACGAGAGTTCGCAACCAGATGCGCTTCTGAGCACCGAGTCTTCTGTGCCTTCTTCGCCCCCGTGCATAGTTAGCTCTGCGCCACAATCCTCTTCGACCGTTTCCGTCCCTGTTGCTATTAGAGTTCCTGATCCAGCATTCCTAGCTCTTGTCGTCAACGCAGTTAAGGTTTTCCCAGTGGCGGAAAAAGATCCTGGCCATACCTCGAACAATGGGTGTGTGCTTCGCTTGGTAATTCAGCTTGCGTGGCGTCACCGTCAACTTCTGGGGGCGTTCCCGATCAATCGCCCAGTTTGTTCCAGCAAACGGCGACGTTCTTAGCTTCTGGGGACCTTTTTCAGGAACAACAGCCGATGACTTCGCCTTCAGCGTCTCAAAGTAGACCTAATTTTACGGTGCCCTCCTTTGTTGCCATATTCGCAACCCCGCACTCGCTGGTTTTAAGCACTTCAATCACGGCGGGCACTTCTGTCCCGGTACCATTCAGCGATAGCTCCTTGGTTGCCAACTTGCCTTCGGGACCGCTACTTCAACAGCCGTTTGTAGTTGGCCCCAGTTTTTTGCCAATCCTGGCAAAAACGATAAGCCAAACTGTCGCCGGCAAGTATGTGGATTTGGGGGACTTGTTATCCGTCAACATCCTTCAGACTGAGCCGCAGACACAAGCATTCCTTGACGGATGCTTAGTGTTTTTGCCAAGCTCTAAAAAGCAACGCCATCGCATCAAGGACATCGTGACCAGGTCTTAAGTATTTACGATTTTTACATTGATTCTGACGTCCTATTTTCCGCACCGGTGAAAAGATTTAACTTCCTACATGCTCCTCATGTTACAATTCGCCCATCGTTGAAATGTTTGTGCGGATTCTCACCGTGGCGCAGAGTGCTCCCTTCGTTCTAATAGAGCATCTTTGAACGATCACAAATACAGATCTGCTTCTCCATCCTCTGCGCCTTTGTGTGCTTCAAAAACCAGACGTCAGTGGATGCACCTTTTGTTCTATTGATTGTTTTTGCCAGGTCGAACTGTATTTGATTGACTTTAGTTTTTCTGTTGGTTTCTGACCGTTATTCTATCTAATTAATGTTAAGACGCGTTATTGCATCATCTCGCCTTTGTACAGCTAGGTCGGACCGTACGTTATCAGCTATAAAGTTATCAAGTTGTTTGAGTTTGCTAGTTAGTTGTCCAAAATTATCTCCTTAGCATTGGGGTGCCCTTTACCTAGCCTTGTTCTGTTTTATGTTAAGCTTACCTAGCCTTATTTCTTCTCAGCTCACCCAGTTCTCCCTGCTGTATCAAAGGTTAGTCCCTTAAGGTGGAGGAATTTTCGAAGGAATTAGCCAGTCATCCCGACCAGCAGCAGGACTCCTATGTCCTCCAGGGTCTCTGGCATATGGCTTCTGGTTAGGATTCTACTCTGCTCACAAGCTTAAGCCAGCTGAAAGAAACAAGCCGCCTGCTCTTCACCATACCCACATTGTCGATGCATATCTGGCTAATGAAGTCTCACTAGGCAGGGTTTTCTCCCCCCTTTTCCCCGGTTGCACATAAGCAGTTTTGGGGTCATCGCTAAGAAAGGACAGCCAGGCAAATGGCACTGGATAGTTTGATTTGCTTCCCCGGGGGGCGCTAGTGTGAAAGATGGCATTGATCCCCAGGATTTTTCTCTCCAGTATATTAAAGTTGATCACGTATCGTAGGGTTTCCCGTTATGGCCCAGGTGCCCTGATGGCAAAGTTTGATGTGGAATCCACTTATCAGAATATCCCATTTCAACGGGATGAACGCTTCCTGCTTGGCATGAAATGGCATGGACAGTTTAATGTTGACCTCTCGCTCCCCTTTGGTCTCCGTTCTGCACCATTTTTTTTTCAATTCTGTAGCTGAAATGGTTGAATGGATCCTACTCCACAAGCATCACCTTTCAGACTTGTTACACTACTTGGATGACTTTATTACCACAGGTCCCCGGCAGTCTTCTCAATGTGCATATAACCTTAACACTGCGGTCTCTGTCTGCCATAGGCTGGGGTTGCCTCTTTACCCTAACAAATACGTGGGTAGGTCGAGCTACTTCTATGACTGTCTTAGGAATTGAACTGGATTCGGTTAACCAAGTGGCTTGTCTTCCTGAGGACAAATTGCTTGCACTAAGAGAGCTCATTCACTCCTGGATGCCAAATGGCTGGTGCAGAAAGCAGGAATTGGAGTTCCTTATTGTCCATTTACATCATGCTGCTAAGGTAGTTTGGCCAGGGAGAGCTTTTCTCTGTCAGTTTATCAACTTGTTGTACTGCTTCCATAACTAGAACCACCCCGTCCGGATTAACCAAGAGGTTTGTCTGCTTCCACAGACCTGGAGGTCACCTCAGATGCAGCTGGCGTGATTGCCTTTGATGCCTATTCTAGAGGCCAGTGGTTTTATGGTGCTTGGTCAGTGGTGCAGGCCAATCTATTACATACCAAGAACTTTTTCCTGTGGTGATTGCTGCTGACCTTTGGGCTAGGAAGCATGTCTTTTTTCGATCAGATAACGAGGCAGTAGTCGCTATTCTCACGACTAGGACCTCGAAGGTTCCAGCTTTAATGCACCTCCGTGATCTGCTCTCTGCGGCATGTTGGGGATTTTAGTTTCACTGCCACTCATGTTCCTGGAGTTGAGAACAAAACTGCTGATGCTATTTCTCGTTTCCATTGGCAGGAGTTCAGGCAGTTGGCTCCGGAGGCTCACTCAACCCTTTGTCCCATTCCTCAGCTTCTGCTGGACAGCTTAACACCTCCGCCCTAGAACAACGGTGCCTGCATTTCTTGGCCCAGAGTTTGGCTCCTTCCACCCAGAAAGCATACGCGTCAGGTCAACGGAGGTTTGTCGAATTTTGCGGTCAAGCTGGGAAGCTCCATCCCAATGGCTTCCCTTGCCCTGCAGATGAGTGGACGCTATGTTTGTTTGTTTCGTTTCTTGCAGATTTAATTCAGCATTTCTCAATTAAAAATTTACACTGTTGGGACGCTGCCATGGCCAGAGCTTTTGCAAGTGGACCTGGGGTGTGAGTTAATGGATACTGTCACCAATGAGATGGAAAAACTCAAAGCAAACATTTTTCGTGGGGCGTAGAGATTCACCAGGACCAGGTGATCATGGAAAGATTCTTACGCACCCTTGCTGAGTGCCTGTTTGGATACCAGTACACTGTCATAGGCTGCCCGAGGGGCAAAGGTCTTCCAAATAGGTCGTTCGGCTTCCTGCTGTGGTCTGCTTTGAACTGCGAAGTCACTCACCTCACAGGCAAAAAACCCGCTGAGCCCATCAAAGAAAAGGCCATTATTGCAAAGCCTGTGACTCCCTAGTTGCGCCCTGTCGGAAAAAAATGACAAGAATGTAAATGTCCATTAGCTGTATCAGCCAGGTGAGCTGGAGGCAGACAGCAGCGGGCCACTGAACCCATCTGGTCTTTGGAAGTCTATAATGTCTTGCCTACCCTTGTGACGCCCAACGAGCCAGTTGTGTATTATCTGCAAGATGGCCCAAACCGGGGGTTTGTGCGTGAAGAGCTGCTTGCCATTCCACCCACAATACTCTTCCTCCAGTAAGTGATACTCGATAGGCTCCGTCTGGATCCCGTCCAGCAGCACCCACTGTTTGTCATAATACACAATCAGCCCCAGCTTGTTTTGGGTATATGTGCAGATCGTGCCTTTCGCCATCTGGAACCCCTGGTTTGTGGCTTTGTCTGCTGCTCCATTCAGTGCTTCCTTGTATCGCTCCCATGTGCTTGTTCTACTGCTGGGACATGCTCTTCGATGATAGCTTGGCTTTGCTCTTCTCTTTGTTCTCCATGTAATAACATTTGCTGCAAAGGGCTATCCCACGGATACGGTGTGCAATTGCTCCATTTGTCCCATGTGAACCAATTCATTTTTGTCACTTGGAACTCTTCAAGAACCTCTGGGAAGACGGCTTCTTCGAGCGTTTTGCATGAGATACGTACTGTCGGTGTCCATCTGGATGAGCTTGAAATCCCTCCTGTCGATAAAATGGTCCAAACAATCATAATAAAACTGCAACATTCGCAGCTTGGCCAGTTGGCCAGTCGATACACAGCCTGTTGATCGTCACTTTCTCCTTTCAAAACTATCTTGAACACGTCACCAATCTCCTCCAGGTCATCGAACCATGCTGACCATTTTGCTTGGTTGACCACGTGCTGGTGCTTTGTGTATATCACCCTTGTCTGTCTTTCTTTCGCCTTGATTAGCTTTCCGTAGGCACTGTTTCCTAACAACTTTAACACATCTGCCAGGAAGGCTTTTGTCTGGGTCTTCATCTCCTCTGCGCCTATTTTCTGTCACCTCGTTTACGAACCATGTTAATATTTTTGACCACGTGCTGGTCCTTTGTGTATATCACCCTTGTCTGTCTTTCTTTCGCCTTGATTAGCTTCCCGTAGGCACTGTTTCCTAACAACTTTAACACATCTGCCAGGAAGGCTATGTCTGGGTCTTCACCTCCTCTGCGCCTATTTTCTGTCACCTCGTTTATGAACCATGTTAATATTTTTGGGGGTCGGTGGTCAGTGGTTCAATCCGTGATCTCGAGACCATGCTCAAGGTACCATTCCAATAGCGGGGCGTAAAGCAAGATCTTTTTCCCTGTCAGCCTTTCACAAAGCTTTTCAGTTTGTATCCCAGCTCTCTTGGTTCATTGCAAATACTCTTTCATGTGCGCCGCAATCGCTTTGGATGGGATATAGCTGTTGTAAAACAATGGTGGGAATTCTTCGAATTTTGTCCACAACTCTCTGGGGACATGGATGTTAACCTCTGCAGAACCAAACCACACTTGTCGGTATAGCCTGCTTTTGAACCCATCCAGCTTTGGCTGAATTTTCGTAGTGAGTCACCTTTCCTGGCCTACAAGGCATTTTTTCCAGAATAGTACTCTGGTACAACGCGGTAACGTCATGACCAACAATCTTTTGACCCGGACACTTGTTGTCATACTTTTGTGAGGAGGGGCGGTGGTTGTTTTCCCCACCTCGTGCTCTCTGGTAAAAACAAGACTTGGACCTCCCACCACAGCCCCTTTTAGCATTTCATACGCCTCTTTTTCGGGGGCATACAGCTCTGACAGGCTCCTACCTTGAAGCATCCCTCGAAGACGATACTGCAAGGACACACCCAGGAGTGACACTGCGTCTTCGAAAATGTGCTTCCAGGAAGGGGCTGACATCCAGATTGTTGTAATACTCCAGCCAACAGTCAAATGTTCTCATTCCCTGCTCCCGGAACACCTGCTGGCAGTCCTCATACTCCTCCAGCAACAAGACAAACTTGTTTTTTAGTTTTGAGAACCAACAACGATTCAGCGACAAGCCATCATAATCCAGTTTGTCATCACAGTTAAGCCACTCATATGGCAGCCATGATTTTGTCTGGCTGCTTCCATACATTTTTACTCACCTCTCATAACTCGTGCTTGGCCCCAAATAATTACAAATGTCCAAAAACTTGAAATTTGTGGGTTGAATGGTGTGAACAAGAACATTATTCTTCCCTGCTTCTTGGCCACGGTCACCAGCTTTTCTGCCCCAATGTGCGTTATGAAATACTTTTTGATAATATTCAGATCATACTTGCTCGAGTTGTAACCCGCCATCGGTATTTGATTGCACCAGTCTAGTAGAGTCGTCTGCTGTTTTCTCGACAATAGTTCCTAATCTTCTGGCACACAGCTTTGTCGCACCTTCTCCCTCAAGATTTCTCCTCGCCTGATCAGCGTTTCCCAGAACTGTCTTATCAGCTCCTTCGGGTCTTTTGCTGAAATACGCTCCAGCTCTCTGTCGAACGTGTCCGCCAGGGACAGTGATACGGGAATATGCTCGCTCTCAAAAACCAAATTGGCTGTGGGTGTCTCAATCGCATGTGGAAACATCTCATTCTGTTTGCCGGGAAGCCTGCAACGCCTTGGGTATGGCCTCTCATGATCCCACCACACAACCAAGTTGTATCCCACTTTGACATTTGCTTCATTTCTTCGTAACGTTCTTTGATACACATCTTCTCGTGTTGCATTCTGCCCTTTCTCCCAGTATAAAACATGCTCTGTCCGGTAGCGTTGTGGACATCCATGGAAATGACAGCTGTGGATTTGGTATACTGTTTTGCTCTTGTGGTGATACCCGTCCATTGGATGCCCGGCGATCAGCCGCTCCCCCCCATGCCCTCACAGTTGATAATGGATGTGGATTCCCCGCCGCTTGGCCTCGGTCTCTATCCAATAACAAGTGGTTTTTCCATGTTTACCCCTTGGATGAAAGGCCCTTTCGTACGGGGACTCTGGTGCCAGATCTTTTCTCCCGGACAGACTATTTTTGTTTGTCGATTTGTGCACCTTGCCGCATGGTGTAAAAGATTACATAATCGTGTGAATCTTGCCCCGCAGTGCGCACATGCAAGCGTTTTGGTCGCCTTCTCGAGGTCGGTGATTAAAAAGGCGTGCTCTTTGTGAATCCGGCTGGTCATTGGTTGATATTCTTCTTCTTCCTCCTCTGGGGTAAAATGCCCCAGCAATGTAAATCCGCACTACCCCCACCTCATAGACAACTATTTCTTGGTGGAAATACGTCGCAATCAGCTAGATATGCTGCAATTCCACCTTCGCATTTGGAATTTCATGTGTGGCAAAATATTCTTGTGCCATTTGCCTGTTATTCTCAGGTTGTTCTTTTTATGGGCTTCTTTGTGCACCACCAAACAACAGAAAACACAGAGATTGTTGTTAAAAGTATCCAGTGCATACAAACCTTTCTTGGTGCAAAGCCATTCTGACAAACACCCTTCCCCAACATGTAGCGTTTGGTTGTCCAAACGTACACTGATTTGGACCGACATATAGGCGGCAAACACAAATTTTGTGTTCGGCCGAGTGAATGTTTCATTTTCCAACCTTGCGGTTTCTTGTCTCTCACTCCAGCCCCGGGCCTCTCGAAGATTGGGAAACCACGGGATTTTCATTCCTTCTTCCAACCATGGAAGCTTTTTGTTGGTTTCAATATTTCGAAGCCGGTTGTAGTATGAATAATTTATTCTGAACAGGTTTGCCATTCCCCATTTGATTCTGTCCAGGATTTGCCCAGCAAGCGAATGGATCAAGTTTGAGAGATAATGCCGTTTTATGATTTGTTGCCCACGCCCATTGACAACAATGTTTTGAATCTCTTGGACCGCATTCTTATAACAAGCCGGTATGTTTCGTGGGGCTGGTTGGGCTTCTTTGTGGTAATTTTCAGACAAAGTGTCAAATTCTCGCAGTATTTGCGCCCTTGGCCTTCTTGGCGGTGGCATAGGTAGCTTTGGCACTGGTTTGGGTTCCAAAGGCGGTGGCAACCCTTCTGAGATTCCACGGCCAAACATTTGTTTTTGTGCTGATGTAAACAAATGAGTTGCCGTCGTTGTATATATGTATGCAAAAAAGTGCCAATATCTAATAGGCCACTCGCGCCCGTTTTGCACCGCAACTATGACAAAATTCTGTCCGCTGTGGCCACCTCGGCAAGCGATTAATCTACCATCTCGGGATATTTTCTGTTTCTCTTGGGCGCGAGAATGGACCCGTTTTTGTGGGCTCAGACTGGCCGTTGCCATCTGCAGACAGGGGAAAGCATGGAGACTTTTTTTTGGAAAGCAAGTAGTATGTCTGGAATCTAAATGAAATCGAATTTTTCCAAAGGTATGGCTGTAAGGTAAAAATGAGTAATATGGGGCCATATGGCCCTCGGAAAAAGTGAATTCATTTTGATTCCAGACATACTACTGTCTTGATGAAGGCAACGTTGTTACCATGGTGGCAATGGATTTATCCAAGGTGTTTGATAGTCTTATTTACTCACTGCTTATAAGCAAGCTTCGGACAGGCAGAATTAGCGGGTGAAGTTTGGCGATGAAATGTCTGGTTGGGAGCTAAATCAACGAGGTGTACCCCAGGGCATTGTTCTCCTTGACAGGCGGTAACCTGTAAAATTTACCGCTTGAAGCGACACTTCGTACCACCTGCAACCGCTTGAAGTGTTTCATTCAATAATTGATTAAATAATTATTTGAATATGTATATGTTTCCTGGTAAAAAATGAAAACCTTTAAATTAAAGACAAATGAATGTAAAAGCTTGAAGTTTGTCTTGAAATCTCTTTCACTTATAATATGTGTAAACAGAGATGATGTTTTAGACTCTCTGCTTAGAAATAGTACTATTCCTGCTTTCTTAAATGTGGTTGTCTCTTTTTTGACAGGCTGCAAAAAACAATGAAAGTGACTTGTCAAATAAACTCAGCGGAGGTGAAAAAAATCTCACAGCAGGAAAAAAGAAGCGAAAAAGGAAAAGAAAAGCTAAGGTATTGTTTTATAGGATGATATGCAGCCAACTCCAAAATTTTTGTCTTGATCAAGATGTGATACAATTTATTCTTTTTCTAACTTCTGAGTCTTTTTTTATAGGAAGCCTCAGAATCACAAGATATCTCTAGACAAAAACTTGCGGAAGACAACAAGAAAGAGGATAAGGAGATTAAGAGACTAGAGAAACTTTTAAGACTTGACAAGAAAAAGAAAGTTCCCAGTCAGTTTAGTCATGAGGGACTGGATTGTATCCTTGGAATCTACGTACATGTAATAATTTTCTTTTTTAAACATCTCCATGTATGTACATTGTATGAACTAAACAGTCACTCACTCTGAATTAGTACCTAACCTTTCTCTCAAAATGTCACAATTTCGGAGTAGTCAAAGTTTGGCAATGCTTATATTTTTTTCAAAGTTTCCCTTAAGCTTAAGCAAGTCACATATATATCATGAAGTTTTAAATTTCATGGCACTAAAAGTTTTTATCTTATTATTTTAAAAATTTCATTCAATAGTGCGTCCACCATTCCCTCATTTCTCCCAATTACTGTCACAAAATAGACTTATTCACAATGAATGTTTGCTGTTTGTTCATTATCTTATACTGCAGCTGCTGTGTTGCCTTGACTTATTTGACACCAGATTTGTTGGAAGTTTGTGATCCTTTGTTAATGACAGGAAGGACTGGTAGCAGTGATGATGACGAGGAACCTGAAAAGAAGACAAAGCTGGCTCATGGCAAGGTATTCCTCCTTTTAAGTTTTAATGACTTTTCTTTGGGTAGGCATAAATAGTTTTTGAAATCACACTTTAACAGTATTCAAAAAATAATTACCTAAAACTATGTATTTTCCTTTTTGAAATGATGGTTAAAATTGCTTTGTAAACATGTAAAAACTAACGAGAGAATGTTCCGACATTTCGGCATGAAGCCATTATCAAGGAATGGAAATAAAATAATGTGAGTTCAAAAGGAGCTAAAGTACTCTAAATTTGCATGGGAACACGGCTAGACATAGACTTTAGCACGGATTGAATTTGTTTGCACATTCTATGGCGCCAAGTTCAAAAGCGAGCCTCAAATTAACAACTTTCGAGGGTTGCTGACCCGCAGCCATCGTGGGCTTCTGCGGGAATGGCGGGATATGATATGACACGGGTAGTTATAACCTTTTATTAAAAGCTCCATACCACAGTCCAACCCGTATTTGTGAGTAAGAAAATTGCCCAGGACCTCCACGAATGTACGTGAGTCAGACAAAACTGCAAGTGCTTAATCAACAGTGCATAGTGTACCAGTTGTTATGTAACCTGTGCATTACAGGCAGCTACAGTCGACTCCCGACAGCTCGAACCTTCAAGGGAAATCAAAAACAGTTCGAGTTATCGGTAGTTGGAGTAGGCAAATAACCAGTAGTGAGGAAATGGGATGGGGGTCAGAGGAATACAAGTATCATGTACACTTTTCTTCAAGGGCAGCAAGAGATATATTTATATTTTGAAAAAGAAATTGAGCAACAAATCCTTGATTAATGAGTACAGCGCTAACCATTGTATTTGAATAGGACTCCGACAAAACAGTAAAGAGTTTGAAAGAGAAAGAATACACGATTGTTTTGAGAGAAATTCCATGTTTTGGACTGCAGTTCACTGCGTTTCTTTTTCAAATTTTCATGCGCTTAAACCATGGTTCAAGTTATCGACGGTAAAATCGTATAGAAATGATCTGAAGGGAAACAAAAGTTACTTCGAGTTAGTGGGAGATTCGAGTTATGGAGGGTAAGTGTATGAAAGATATCCAAGGGAAATTGATTTTGGTTCGAGTTAGCGCGAGGTTTGAGTTAGCGAGGGTTTGAGTTATTGGGAGTCGACTGTACGTTAATTGTACGTCGGGGCATCTTTTCACACGCCTGGATGGCCACAAAAGTAAATCATCTTCTGTGCACGAACACTATGATAAAGACCACGTGGGCGCTGTCCCGGAGCACCTTCTCAGCTGCTTTAGAGTGCTGAAAAAGTGTAAGAAGAAGTTTGACTGCCTCATTAACGAAATGCTTTACATCAAGCAATTAAGATTGCCTTTGATGGTGCAAACGGATTCAATCCGTGATAAACGCCTTTGTCTAGCTGTGTTCGTTCATGCAAATTTAGAGTACTTTAACCCCTTATTTCAATTACTTGATAATGGCGTCATGATGTCACCGAAATGTCGGAACATTATCTCATTAGTTTTAACATGTTTATGTTTCTTCAAATCATTATTGATTAGTATTACTTTAGAAATTTTTGCCTTCGGCAAGTTAAGGAGGTTAAATAGTAACAGGACAAGAATTTACATGTAACTTTATCTTTTTTTTCATCTTTTAAAAAGGCCAACCAAAACAGAAGAAAGACACTTGACATGGGACAATTGAGCTGTAGTGAAGATGAACAAGAAGAGTTGGTTACTAGCGGTAATGATGATGTTGTTGATGATGATGATGACGACGATGATGATGGTGATGATGATGATGATGATGATGGTGATGATGATGATGGTGGTGATAGTGGTCATGGTGGTGATTATAATGAAGCTGATAGTGACGTTGATGAAGAGGGAAAAGCCTTTAACACCAAAGATAAAATTGGTCATGATATGGACCAGAATGACAAGGACAGTAGTAAGAACAAAGATGCATATGATGATGATGATGATGATGATGATGAGCAGGAGGAGGAGGAGGACAATTTCAAGGACAATGATGATGATGAAGATGCTATGAATAACATTTATAATGATGTTGATGATGACGGCAATGAAGATAATACTCAGAACATTACTTGTCACAAGTATGTTCCTCCTCATTTGAGAAGGCAACCTTCATCTGAAGCCCAGCGTGAACACTTAAACAGAATCAGACGTCAGGTGAAAGGTCTACTAAACAGGTAAACCATTTAATGAGTAAAATATTAGTATTTGTATTTTCACTATCAAAAAGGAACGCACTAAAGATTAAAATTCATAACAACCGGTCATTGACGGATTTGCATATGGCGCAATGGCGGCCGCACGTGTTTTTTAACGTTAGCCAAATTTTCGGCTACCATTGTTAAGTGCAGGCATCTGCAATTGTGCTTTCTTCTTTTTTTTTTATGGTGTGTGTCTTAAGATGTTTTGTATGTCTAGTTATTGTGATGTCCTGTACATTCGACACTACTTTCAAAGAACTAGTTGCTAGCTCGAAAACCTTACGGTTATCTAGCCGCTAGGCATTTCCTTCTATGTAATAATATTTAGTTTAAATTGTAATTGAATATTCTACGTGTTAAGTTACTAATTATTCAATAAGTTTGCCATACCCTGTAATGGAAATGTGAATAAAGTGTTGTTGTTATAAAGTGTTGTTGTCATTCATAGGAGTACCACCCTCACCGTTAATTCCCTTTAGTTGTGTATATTTATTGGCTACCCAGAGTATGGCTGTTCCCTTTAAATCGTATGCTTTCATAAACTAATCTTGTTTGCACTTTGCACAGGTTTAGTGAGGGAAATATGTCTCTTATCAGCAGTGAAATAGAGAATCTTTTTACTCACAACAGTAGAAATGGTAGGTCTACTATAATAACATTGCTACTTTTTCAACGTTTCAAGCCAGAACAATACTGGTGTAGTGACCCTTGAAAACTTAAACTCACAAAAAAAAAAGCGTAAGTAAAAGTCTTATTCTGTAAGTCCATTGACTGATTCAAGCGGGACATGAGTCCTTCCACCTTGTTTGGAACAAAGTAATCAAACTACAGAAGATCTAAGCTGCTTCATTTATGATAAAATACACAAGGTTTCATTGACCAGCGCTCCCAGCTTCGTTGCTTTAGACTTATGGTGAGAGCTGGGGTAGCTCATACCGGTGCTAATTGGACCCACTAAGAAANTTTTATGGTGTGTGTCTTAAGATGTTTTGTATGTCTAGTTATTGTGATGTCCTGTACATTCGACACTACTTTCAAAGAACTAGTTGCTAGCTCGAAAACCTTACGGTTATCTAGCCGCTAGGCATTTCCTTCTATGTAATAATATTTAGATTAAATTGTAATTGAATATTCTACGTGTTAAGTTACTAATTATTCAATAAGTTTGCCATACCCTGTAATGGAAATGTGAATAAAGTGTTGTTGTTATAAAGTGTTGTTGTCATTCATAGGAGTACCACCCTCACCGTTAATTCCCTTTAGTTGTGTATATTTATTGGCTACCCAGAGTATGGCTGTTCCCTTTAAATCGTATGCTTTCATAAACTAATCTTGTTTGCACTTTGCACAGGCTTAGTGAGGGAAATATGTCTCTTATCAGCAGTGAAATAGAGAATCTTTTTACTCACAACAGTAGAAATGGTAGGTCTACTATAATAACATTGCTACTTTTTCAACGTTTCAAGCCAGAACAATACTGGTGTAGTGACCCTTGAAAACTTAAACTCACAAAAAAAAAAGCGTAAGTAAAAGTCTTATTCTGTAAGTCCATTGACTGATTCAAGCGGGACATGAGTCCTTCCACCTTGTTTGGAACAAAGTAATCAAACTACAGAAGATCTAAGCTGCTTCATTTATGATAAAATACACAAGGTTTCATTGACCAGCGCTCCCAGCTTCGTTGCTTTAGACTTATGGTGAGAGCTGGGGTAGCTCATACCGGTGCTAATTGGACCCACTAAGAAACGTAAATAAACACCTTACCAAGGCAAAAAATATGTAAAACAAATCCGCCTCATTTTACCACCTGCACCACTACTATTGCTATAACACATTTAGCAATTTTTAGAGTACCTGGTAAATGTGATTTAGGTTTAGCTCTCAATGTCCTTTGTGCCCTAGCCTGAACAAGGGAAATTGAGAATCAAAATAGGTGAATACCACTTTTAACCAAAATTTTGTTTTAGACTGCAACTTGTGTGTTCATTTCCTCCTTACCAGATATGAACAAGATCTTAAGTGAACTTATACTAGGATCATGTGTGTCAATATCTTTGATGCCTGATAAACTCCTGATGGAGCATGTTATGTTACTAGCAATTCTCACAAGTCATATTGGAACTGAAGTTGGTGAGTGAAATTCAGTGTCTTTGCATTGAATGTTGTGCCACCACTGCCACTTTTGCAACTTTTGACAACTTGGTGGGTTCCAAATAATACAGTCAATCAAAATTCAATTTATCTTAGAAGCAGATTCATGTGTTGCAATTCAAGGTTTCCTTTCTGTTCCTTTGAAATTCCATGATTCTACCTCCCAGGCATATTTTTACCTTTTGTTTTTTACCTCGAAAAGAAGTTTAGGTGGCTACATCCACCTTGGCCACATTTCCACACATATCTTTCTTTTTTTAAACAAAATTCATTCTTGTATTATCTGACCTAAAATCACAGTAAAAGCTTCTCACACCAGCAGGGAGGTGTCCAATTAGTGCTAAGTTGTATCTTAGGACCAGCTGTTTTTCATGTTTTGCGGCGTCCGCTAAAACCAATTTTATTGTTTTCCGCAATATCATTTTCCAAAAAAAATTACTTATTCATATCTGTATCACTATTCATTATTAGGTGCCTTCTTTGTTGAGAGGCTTGCAGAAATGTTTGATAATATGCACAACAGTGAAAAAGATAGCTATGGAAAAGGGAAAGAGTGTGTCAACATAGTGGCCTTGTTTGCTCATCTGTACAATTTTAAGGTAAATTAATACTTCAGAATTGTTAGTTAACCTAGATTCTCTCAAGTTGACCAAGAAAATATTTTAAAAGATCCTAATTATCCTGTAAAATTTCGTTAGAAGAACCGAAAAAGTTAGAGGACAGCCAAAGAGAGCTGAAAAAGTCATCTGATTCTGAGCCAATATATATTTTACTCTATTCGTCTGTGATGTAGTCGACATTTGGCGACGCTACCATTGGTTTCCCCGCCAAATGATGTCTGAGAAACGAGCGCAGAAATTCCATACTGATGACGCATCACTACCCAGGTCTGGGTAGTACCTCTGATTGGCTGAATCTAATTTCCCAAGCGGTACGACCAGCGGTAGCGTCGCCATATGTCGGCTGTTTTCTCAGGCTATGTGGAATGCCCTTTTACTATTCTTCATTTATTCACCACTCCTCCCTCAGCTGGCTTTTTTTGCCTGATCTTTCTCCTCTACCCATTTAGAGATTTTGCACCCGACGATGTCCTCTATTAATAAAGGTTGATCTTGCATGCACATTTCACACTAATCTAATAAGTAGTTAAAAATAGTTCAGAATGTTTTTTCAAGGTGGAATTTTCTCATCTCTCGCATTTCCTTTCAGGTTATTGACTGCTGTCTTATTTATGACATAATCCGCCGTCTTGTGGATACATTCTCTGTTCAAGACATTGAACTTCTCCTATTTGTCTTAAAAAGTACGAAATATGACCTAAACTGTATTACTTTAGAAGTAACTAGTTATCTCTTTTGGAGTCTTGAAATAACACCTTCTTCTAAAATGGTGTCGACATTTCATCAAAATTAACCGCTAATATTACCCGCAAGTGATATCCAAACATCAACAACTTCAATTTGTCATAAACTACCAAAACTTAACAGAGAGAACCCAGGCTGTTTCCTCACATACCACATGTAGTATTTTGTAGTTACGCCCAAAACATTTTATTGTATGCCGGTGCAATTCAGCAGGCATAGCTGCTTGTCTTATTTCAGAAGACTATGCTCCTTGTGAAATGAGGTAACCTCAAGCCTCTTTTTACGACTTTGAATGATAAGCATTGTTTTGGTACAGGTAATGGAGCAGAAATCAGAAGAGATGATCCAGCCTCATTAAAGGTACCATTCCATTTTTAAGTAAAGAAAAATGCACTATGTTGACACTGTTAAGTCTCTCATTATCCACTCCCCTTAGGGTTTTTCAGGAATAATTTACAACACTGGTTGGAGGACGTTTTTGCTAGACGGCCTCTGTTAATCTTTCTGATTATCATTTTGAAGTAAAATAAAAATGTTCTTCAAAACTTACGTTTCATGAATATACCTGTATCAAAATATGGATCCTCTGTTAGCCTCAGGTGTTCACAAGGGTATGATCCATTGGGACAAGTATCTAAACCTGACAAAAAGAAAACGTAAAAGCAAAGCTGAGAAAAAAGTCACAACAAGGTGTGGAAGAAGGAGGAGACAGGCCTTCCCGCTATCCAGGGCATGGCACTATTACCTGAACAACCTAAACTCNTCGACATTTCATCAAAATTAACCGCTAATATTACCCGCAAGTGATATCCAAACATCAACAACTTCAATTTGTCATAAACTACCAAAACTTAACAAAGAGAACCCAGACTGTTTCCTCACATACCACATGTAGTATTTTGTAGTTACGCCCAAAACATTTTATTGTATGCCGGTGCAATTCAGCAGGCATAGCTGCTTGTCTTATTTCAGAAGACTATGCTCCTTGTGAAATGAGGTAACCTCAAGCCTCTTTTTACGACTTTGAATGATAAGCATTGTTTTGGTACAGGTAATGGAGCAGAAATCAGAAGAGATGATCCAGCCTCATTAAAGGTACCATTCCATTTTTAAGTAAAGAAAAATGCACTATGTTGACACTGTTAAGTCTCTCATTATCCACTCCCTTTAGGGTTTTTCAGGAATAATTTACAACACTGGTTGGAGGACGTTTTTGCTAGACGGCCTCTGTTAATCTTTCTGATTATCATTTTGAAGTAAAATAAAAATGTTCTTCAAAACTTACGTTTCATGAATATACCTGTATCAAAATATGGATCCTCTGTTAGCCTCAGGTGTTCACAAGGGTATGATCCATTGGGACAAGTATCTAAACCTGACAAAAAGAAAACGTAAAAGCAAAGCTGAGAAAAAAGTCACAACAAGGTGTGGAAGAAGGAGGAGACAGGCCTTCCCGCTATCCAGGGCATGGCACTATTACCTGAACAACCTAAACTCAATGTATCGCAAGAAGAAAAGAAGGTTATGGCTAACCTTCTTTAAAAGTACAAACAACCGCTTCTACCACTGACCCCATACAACGGCCGTGATGTGGTGTCCGATTCACGATGAGGAGATGCAGTTTCTCATCTCTAAGAATGGTTGTCACTTTACGAAATATGAAGTGTAAAATTCATGGTTGTTTCCTAGTCAAGTAGAGGCGCCCCCTTACATCAAATCTGTTCGTCAACAACTCCATCGTAAACTGAAACTGCAGTTTCCCATCCTGACTAACGATCGTCATTATCCCGCGAAACCAGGGCTGAAGGTCAGTAAGTCCATCAAGAATCCTAGACGCCTGTTCTTTAATTCCACCAACTTGAAAAATATGATTTCTCTCAGTGGCCCAATCTGCCATGATCCAAACAAAACAGAGATTCCCTGGAACGAAAACAGTACCATCAGCTGAAACCTGAAAAGCACCATCTTCAGCAAGTTAAGCAACCTGATTCCTCAATAGCCAGCAGTATTTAGGGGGTTTCTTTGTTATTTCGGTGGGGAAAGAGTGGACGGAAGACTCCAACGTACGATTGAACTAAATTGCACAAACATGCAGCTATCAGACGGTAGAAATCCTAAAACGGTAACCTTGTAAACATCACAATGACGAAAAAGTCGGCCCTGCAAATTATAGAAACTATGTGTTGTTTTTAAAATCGTATAGACAAGGAAGGAAGGGGAACCGATAAGGAAAAAGTCGAATGCATTCCACTATACCACGTACATGAAGGCATTCGTTTGGATCCCCAAAACGTAAGGTACAATCCAGGTCTCTGATAAGTGACCAAGATCATGTTCAACTCCGCGCGGGGCAAGTTAGGCAACAATTAAGCAAGATCCAGGTTAAAGAAATCGTCGACCACATGGCTTTTCACAAGTTCCTGGACTTGGACACGCATGACATCAGATACGTGAGTTCACTCACTGAGGAGAAGGTAGAAGAACATTACAAACATCAAGAGGAACGATGCAAGGCTATCACCGAGCCTGAACATATTTGTCGCTTGCTTCACCACTTGTTGCACCCGATTACACTTATACGAAGCTTCGGAGCTCTTGGGAAAACACTGTCTTTATTATGATGCAGACTCCATCATTTTCATCAGTCGGCCCGTCAAAACCGACCCACTTCTTGGCGATGTTTTTGTCGAATTCAAAGATTAGCTCAACACGGGAGACAGCATCGTCGAAATTGACAAATTGTATCGGGTGGTCCCAGGAACTACAGGTACAAGACATTGCGTGGCAAAACTTGTTGCAAAGTCCGACGTTTCAGCCTCATCAATGAATGGATCGGCCCAATTAAATTACTTTGCACCAAATTCAGGTGGTCAATAGTTTCCAAATACTCCTTTCCAGAGTACAAAAAGTTTCAGTTGGTTCACACAAAAAGAGTATTGGATCCACTGACCTTTGTCAAATACCCATACGGATTCAAATACGTGTATGAGCGGAACATATACAATTTGTTGAGCCCGCCTACTGGACCACGCCCGTGTGATCCACTACACATTACTACTGGTATTATATTATACGATCCAGCATGCACTACCTATAATCCATAAGATTAAAAACGTGCAGCGGAGGTCATAGAAAGGAAAGACCGTATAAATTTTGAAACATTTTTTGTAGTATTTGTTCAGTTGTCGCTTTTAAGTACTGGAGAAATGAGCACATAGTATCGCTAAAGAAATGTTAACTGTTAGTGTTGAAAATCATAATGTGAGTTTGAATTTTTCCACTCTGTCATTTTCAGAAATGCAAAGTGTAGACCAGAGTGTACATGTATTGCTAAGAAAATAGACTTTTCATTGTTGTTCAGTTCAAACTGAGCACACTTTGAGGCGTCTATGTTATTTAGTCCTCGGTAATAGATTCTATGCATGTACATCCAACCTTGGCAATACAAAATATATCCGTTTCTCTTCATCTGCAGGATATTATCTTACAAATCCAGGCAAAAGCAGCTTCTTCAGCCCACCTGACTAGCAAGTAAGAATTCCATTTAGTGCTTGATATAATCAACATAGTGAATGAGTGGCCACCAATAAATATCCTTGATTTAAATGTTACCCTCCTTTGATTAAAGCTAATTATCTCATGTCATATTCAGAGACAACGGATGATCAATTTGAACAAAAAGCGAATGCAAAAACGCTTCAGATATGTGTTGAATGAAAACCAGTTCTAATGAAGATTCTTAAATATAATGACAAGGGAGGCACTGGTGATACTCCAGATCAAGCGCAAAAGTTTCCTGTTGATAAAGATTTGCAAGACGACACTGTAACATCCCCTGTTCCAATTTTATTTCACCTGGTAGAACCAAAAAAGTACCAATATCTTTCTATTTATTAATTTTAATAATATTTCTGCCTGTTGTTTAGTTCAAGAGTCCGTTTCATGTTGGAGATCATATCCAATTTACGAAATAATAACTTGAGGAAGATACCAGGTTATGATCCTTCGAGATTAGAACATCTTAGAAAAGTTCTTCGCTCACTTGTCAGAGATTCAAGTAAGTTAATTCATAAATAATGAGTACTGCACTATAAGTAGTGAAAGGTAAAGGGACTTAAAATGGTTGAAACTCAAAGTCTTGGTAAGACGACCAATCATTAAGTTCTCCCTTCTCCAGTCCTGTATATGAAATTGCACATTGTTTGTGTGTTTTTTTCCATGACGTTCCCTGAAACAACTGAGAAATCAATAACCAGGATCTTGCATGTTTTGGTTGGTTATTGAGGGGAATGTCCATTCGCCACAATAGCTGACCGGTGCGTCCCCAGTGATTATCCCAGAAACAATTGTAAGACACATTTCGGTCACACTTTCTCGTTTCTAAAGTAGTGAATGGTCCCGAGGTGTACACCAGTACGTAACTCAATAGTATAGTATGGATGGATAGTCTTTTTGCAGTGGAATCTCATCAATTTGTGCCATGTGAAGAGCAGTTGAATATCTATAAAAGATGATATCATATTCCATTTTTATTCTGTGTCATTCATAGTTGGTTAAACTAGCTTTAAAAAATTTTAGTTTGTTTTGATTTGTTCGGGTAATGACGGTATTTGAGCCTTGCAAGATTCCACTGCAAAAAAAGGGAGTAAAACCTTTTTCCATACAGCTGAGTTTACAAGTAAATGTTTCCAAGTTAATCGAAGGTAGATGTTTGTTTAAGTCGTTTAAAGACTAGATCAACTCGTTTAACTTGTTTTAAAGTAGGGAAACTCATATAATTCAAAGGCGGTGAAACGCTCTCTTTTTCAGTCGATTTTTTCCTGTGAAATCGCTATAATTCATTTTTGTGGTAAGCTGAAAGCACGACGCACCTTTACTATTGAATATCTCTTTTCACACCTGACTTAATTTATTTTAGGCCAAGCAGCTAGTAATCAGCTGAAAATTTCTTTAGAAGATTTACTTAAACCAGAAACAAAAGGTGGGTTTAGTTGTTTTCTGTTTTATTAGTTTGGAATAAAGTGTTACTAACACGGACATGGTTTTCGCTAATCGAAGCTCCCTTATTGTTCTGGCTACGTCGATGCGCCCTTCCTTTATTGTTTTAAAATTTAACATTGTTTCAAGCACTGCGAAGAATGGGTCCGAGCTTTGTTGTAACCTCACAGAAGGAGATCAATTTCACGCGAGCAACATGAACTTCTCTGGAATCAGAGCTGGATGCGTGCTGCATGCCCGATACCTGCTTTGTTCTCGGTTTAATAATACAGCCGATCACCAAAGAGGTATCGTGCTCCATAAAATTCCATGCTGGGGTGATACGCATGCTGAATGTATTAAGAGAAGAAGGTTAAGCTCACGTAAAACACTTCCCCCTTTCTCGCTTAGCCGCAATATTCTTATGAGTATGCGCCAAATGGTCTCTTTAGAAGGCGTCAAAACAGCCTCGTACCTAACTCCCACAAATGCTCGGTAATTTTTTTTTGCACAAATCACCGGGACAATTATCGATGTCCTTTAACGAGCACCATGGATGTTTCGGGGTTATTTGCACTATAACAGGACAAAGTTGTCGAAAATGTTGTTTTGAATGAGCATTGTATGTGTTTTTGCTGGTGCCAAGGCTATTTCAAGTAAGCAGTCACTGTTGGTAAGTTAATGGCCTGTAAAAGTTACTTTACACCTAGTTCAAAACCTTTATCACATGGAACACCGGCAAATGGAATGTTGTGTAACAAGTGCGGTAACTGAGAGTTCTGTTACTTTTAACCATGAAACGCGAGTAGTATAGTGGGGTTTGTTTACTCTTTTTTTTTGTGCTCGTGCTATTTTAAGTGGTTTAACTGGTTTGACAGGTCTTCTAGTTATTGTTTGGTCGTTGAATTTGTTGGTTTTTGATTGATTGACTAGACACTAAGAAAAGTATTCATTGCTTGATTCATGTTGTCCAAGGAATATGCGCTAACTCGCATGTGACTTAAAATTGCTGGGCGGAAACTTCATGACGTAAGTTCTATTTCCTGCCACTCTCATTTCTCAAAACAAATTGGTCCAGTTCCGGTTCACTGATTCTTGGCGCGCAAGTCGTGCACATAATTGAGGGCAAAGGCAAAATAGATTTTTCAAGGACGAAATACGATTTTTACGTACCCCTCTCCTCGTCCTGCTTCTTCACAATTAATTATTTCGCTCCTTCTCAAACTATATAATTTCCCTCCTCCATCGCATTTGTATTGTTTTTCCTCCTCCTCCTCTTCTTCTTCATTTAAAAACGTGGTGGAGGAAGAGAGAAAAGAAAACCTATCACACCGGTTAAACCACCTAAAAGTAACACATGGTCTTATCTAGGTGAGATTCCCCACATTTTATTAATGAGATAAATGCAAAAGACTATAACGTCATTGGCGTTAATGTTTCCCTAGCTGGTTTATGAGATTGCCCCGCAAAAAAGGAAGAAACCGGACCCTTCTATACTAGTAACGCGACATACTACGGTCAAGATTTGGAGATACACTACTCCATTAAGGGGTCTTTTTTACTGTCTGATATTCTAACTGACCGTCACAGTGTGGGTCGCTCGTAAAAGTACTGGAAGTGTCTCAGTAGTGAAGATAATGCAGCGATCAAACCTTTGTTCAATTTTCAGGCTGTAGATAGGTTACTTTCATTATACCCGGAGTAAAAGCGTTATAATTTTTGCTTTTGGCGTTTTATCGCAAAAAGACAATTCATTCTTGAAATAATGATCATAACATCCATTCATTTAATGACATTTGTAAACGATGAATGTTTTTTTTTTTTGTCCCAATGCTGGGACACAGAATCCAAGATTGTAGAAGAGAATTTTGGAGTAACTTCAGATTAATGTTCTCATGTAGGTCGCTGGTGGATTGCTGGCTCATCCTTGTCAAGGAGAAATGGAAGGGAGTTTATAGTGGCATCCTCTGCCCAAATGGAAAACACTAAGTTATTAGAACTGGCACGTAAACAACGTATGAACACTGATGTCAGAAAGAATGTGTTTCTTGTTATGATGACTAGCGAGGTGAGCAATTTTAAACCCCTCCTCCCTTGTTTTTTACCCTTTATACTTAGATTTCGTGCATCCGCGAATGTGCGTTTGTTATTCCAGAGTACAGTGAAAATGCAAAATTTATGATGAACTCCTACATGACGGAAGATACGATGCTCCTGTAAAACAAATGACATTGTTCGCCCCTATGTAGTTATAGTAAAATTAAGGCCGGAATCGGACCCCGATACAATTGACCACCTTCATAACCAACGATTGTTCCAGTCCCCTCAGGTCACTTCGTTAAATCGTGGTCTCACGGAAGTGAAACGAAATTCTTCTCATGGTAGTGCCTCTGAAAAGTTGATAGTTGGTCAGTTTATTTTCTCTACCCAGCGATGGTTTAGCAAGTGAAAATAAGAAGCAACATCTCTGATTTGTTGCAGCTAAAGCTGCTTGTTCATTTTAAAATTACCAACACACCTCTGTCCCCATAATGTCTATGTGTTTATCGACCACGCGATATCCTCGAGGAGGCTTTCCCCGGTGTCAGAGAATTACTTGTTAAAGCGGGTGTGCTTTTCTCTTTTAAGCGAGAGTTACTCTACGTATCTGGGGTCCCCAACTTTCATGTACGCATCTTGTTCCTCTGTACTGTACAATATACACGTCATTATGTTATGAACTCAAGTAATTCCTACTTCTTACTGCTGCTTTTGTTGTTATCTGTAGGATTACATCGATGCATTTGAAAAGTTGCTGAGATTGAATCTAAAAGATGCTCAGACTCGGGAAGTAATTCATGTACTTATTGACTGTTGTGTGCAGGTTCGTAGAACTAGTGAACAGTCTCGTTTTGTTGTTCAGTCATATAATTGGTGATGTGTTAAACATGTTACCGGTTATTGTTTCCAGGAGAGGACATACAATCCTTACTATGCGTATCTTGGCCAAAAATTCTGTGAATACAATCGCAGCTATCAGGTAAGCTAATCCTACACTTCCAAAAACGACTACAACCTTGTAGTAAGACCAAACGTTGTCTGTTTATCCACTCTTCAAGGAGATTTTCGAGGACGGCTTATAACACTGTGCGCCTTATAGTTCAATGAAAGAACCTTACATAGATGTCCTCTAATACTAAACAAGTTCAAACCTCAGACATGGATCTGTGTGTCTCCTCCTTCGCATTAAAAAAAAAACAAAACAAAACAAAACAGTTTTAAAAGAACTTTTGGTTTAGCAATTTAGCCTGTCCCACAAGCTGTTGATGTAGGGTTTCAGTTTTCTGCAGTCTAACTGGAACGGGCTACGTCACTTTCATGTGCGACACCCCTGAAGGTATCTAGTAACCTTAAGTCTAGCAGACATTCTTTAAATAGCAGAAGTCGTTCGCTCAGTTTGATTTATTGCTGTTTTTATTACGTTTTTAGGCGGTAAATCGGCTATTTCTTCGCAAAACGCGTGAACTTTCCTGCCATCTACTCTAGCTCTACCAAAACAACTCACCCTCAGGGTTTCTTGGTTGTTGCCGTCGTTTTTTGTCTTTTTTCTGGCGTTAGCTTGTAGTATTGACGCCATTTCACCAAGCATAACAAAAGTCTTTTAAATTTGGTTAACGCTAGTGGGCTATGAAGAATTAGCCAAGGGATCTGAGCCAGTTAGATACGGAAAAGTATTTCGAGTGAAGATTAAAAAAGGATGAATCTCGATCTTTCTCTCCCGTGGTACCATATAACTGACTATCTAATTCTTATGAAATATAAAATGGGTTTTACATTCACTATTAGACTCCTAATAACCAACGATCGATAGATCAACCCTTCCAGCAATATCATAAAACTTGTTATTTAGAAATTGCTTGAATAAAGTCTCATCTTATAGTTTTGAATATGCACCGTTTCAAGATCCTTACTGCATTCCTCAACAGGCTTGTAGGTGGATAGCACTATCCACCATATGAACTTAGCGAATTTTCAACTCCTGCCACAAAATCAAGAGTTGGCTTGATTATTCCTGACCGACCTTCTTAAGATCATAGGACTGCGACGGCGGCGAAAAGTGATTTTGGGTTCCTTAAATCTTCATTGTGATTATTCCAACTCCGTTTCTTTGTCAAATGCGGGCGAATTGTCCTAAGAGGCATATCCATGGTGCATTTCGAACCTAGACACGTGTTACTTGATTTCCCATCGACCGTTGGTTTACCTGATTATCTGAAGTTTTCTGTTGTTTAAACGTGTGCTTTTACAACCTGTGACTTGTATTATTTTCAGGTTACATTTCAGTATTCTTTCTGGGACAAGCTTAAAGTTGTTGGTGACCTAGCGTCTCACAGTGTTGATAATCTGTCTTGTCTCATGTCTCATCTCATCGCCACAAGAGCTTTATCTTTAGCAATTCTTAAGGTATTAAGAGTATGATAAACACAATTGTCATTTTCCTGAACAAGTAATTTTAAATCGTTATAGTGGTTTTAGGGGACCATTAGAGACAGAAAGATCTTGTATTTCCAAACATTGATATTGTGTTACATCATGGGAGGGCTGGTATGGAAAGTGTTTAAATTAAGTGGTTTTCACGAATGTCTTTTAAATGACCAAGGGTGAGTAATGTGTTGTTGGAGCAAAATGTTTTTGTTGAGCTTCACCTAGGTCAAACGAGATAAATTTGCAAAAGCTAAAAGCGAAGGTTGTTACTTTCACTGTTCAAAGTTTAGTTCATTAACAATGCGCTGGTGATTCACTAAAGTTTAGTAAGAAATAGATTTCTGAACGTTCGAAAGCAGAAACTGGCATTTTCGGCGATATTTGCCTACATGGCTCTACTCAGGTGCGAAAGATTTTGAACGAAAGGAGGCTCATTATTTTGAGAAGAATGCATAGGTAGTTTTATGAACGTATTCTTTTGTATACCGTTGACCATGTTTTCAAAATAAAATCACAGTAATAAGACGAAAAAACGTCTCAGACGTTGGACCCTGTTGAATAGTTGGGCTTTGTGAGTGCGGACTTTTTCAAACACACAACAAAACGTTGGAACGGGAGTACAAACTTTGACTTCCATTACCCCAGTAACTGAGGAGGTTGTATGGACTATGATCTGCCGTAACAAAAGCACAATGCCATATCGGTTTTACAGACATGGTGACTGCCACTTGTTTATGTTGTGGCTTCACCAGAAAGCCCAGCAAACAAATGCAGTCATCTAGGAGACCTCGTAAAGCTGCTGGAGTTAGATCAGAGGATGGCCAGTAGCTAAAAAGAAAGCTTGAAATTGATTCCCACATCGTCAGAACTTCTTAAAAGTCGAACGTCATAGGAAATGTTGAATTGGTTTTACTGTATAAAGTACTTTGAAAGTAGTTCTCAGATTTGTACTTTCTCTGTTTTCATGTATAGGTTGTAAACTTTGTGGAGCTTGATAAGCCGTCTGTTCGTCTTTTTACCAGTCTATTTCGTCATCTTTTATTGGATTACTCAACAGATATTACAAGGTGTGTCAATACTTTTTTGAACATGCAAAACATACGTTAAATCCATGCGAATATAGCCTTTCAACAAGACGTCAAGTTACCAATGGTAAAACTTGCAGTAAAACACGTGACGCAAAGGATGAAGATTGTACTTTATGAAATGGAGGTTGGAGCATTCAAAAGTCAACCGTAATACCGAAAATCCTCTATCCACCCTCGGGGCTTATTTCGGAGGGGAGGTTTGTTTAATTTAGCGAAGATAATGGTATCAACTCTCCATAAAGAACTTGAACGCAATGTGGAAAAGCTCTGGGTCATGAAGTTGGAGGTCATGCAGTGAAGGAACAAAAACAAATCCGAACTTCTATCAAGTGAATGAACCATACTGGATCAATCCACCTGAAGTGTTACAGTCGTGATTAATTAATACAGGCTATCATTTAAGAACTAGCGGGGAGGGGAGGTGGGGCTTGAAACCGAGGGGGGTAAATTACTTTCTTCCCCTGAAAAGGGGGGCGTAGTAGGTAGAGGGTCTTAATAGATGATTTACTGCAAGTAAATTACAATCGGCTCCCGTTATTGCGAACTCTATTTCGGCGGAAATACATCCCACCATGTTGGGGCTGGTGGGCAGTCACTATAAAATTATTATTTTATTTCGCTCCACAGAAATGTTTTTGAAAGGATTTCTACTGTGCAAGGGCTGTCTACCCTTCGTCAAAGCCTGCGCATTTTTATCAAACATTTTGTTGGAAAAGGCAAGATATCGAAGACTTCCAAGACTGATAAACACACTGAGTTAAAAGAAAGGCTGCAACTTGTAGATAGCATTCTTGGAGCTTCCGACCGTATCAAGTTATAGCATTTTATGGGTTAGCAACACGTTATTAGGAATCGCACGTGCGTTTGTACCAATGTAATTGACCACTACAGAAAATACCATAACATACCATAATACGCTTTGTTTGTTAACCCAATATTTTGCATAAGCATGGTCATCAGTTTCTCTTGGGAGTTAAAATGGCCCCGACAAAAACTGAAAATAATGCTTAAGCAAAAATGCACAGAAAGCATTAAATAAAGCATTATGGTATGTTACAGTATTTTTTGTAGTGGTCAAATAGTTGCCTTACCCCTTTTACTTTGGCTATGCTCCCAGCCATAGAGGATATAGTGCGCAGTGTTAGAGTAACAAAATAAGATTAAGAACTCCAGTCATAACTACCAACCAGTTCATTACCTGAGTCGAGACGTCATGTGAAAGGAGTGCCCTGGAAGCTTCTCTTTCAGGAGGTTTTAAACGCATTTAACAAACTCGAAACCCTTGTGAGGAAGTCACCATTGGTTTTATTTTAAGTATAATTTAATGGTAACCTTCCATTAGTTTCTATTTTTGTTCCCTTGGTGAAAAACTTCCGCCGGGCAAGGCGAAACGCGACCACGTTGAAGAGAATGTATGGTATCTGCTAACATTGGGTCTGAACTCATATTCATTTAATAGTTATTATTATTTACCAATATTTTCAGAGGATTTGCCCCTTCAACAGAGCTGATATCAGTGGGGGTCCTGGTAAATTAAATCCTTTGATATAAGAATTAAAAAAACATCAAAGTGTAGATACTTGAAAAATGAACTGTACTAGGAAATTAAAGAAAATCCTTAACAATTCTTTGAATTGAGATAGTGATTTGCATTCTCTGCTGAGAGAGGGAATCTCGTTAACTTTCAAGAAATAAATTAACGCTGGAGCCTTCGTGAATTGTACTAAAACAGATACCCTTTTTGCTGAGTAAAAAGTCGATGATTTCATCTCGTTAGGATGTCAGTCTTTTTCACTAGTGCCTTGTATGATGGTTTTACAGGTTAGGCTTAATGGAATCAGATTTTGATTGGTTGACAAAAAACTGGAGAAGGATTCATTTTAAAGAAGGCATAAGCGCCAACTCGAACTTAAACGTACTTATTGAAGTCTTTTTCCAGTCACAGTTATTGTCTCGGTTCCAGTTGACCGATTTTCTGCTTGTTAATGGCACAGAGGCAAACTACCTAGATAATGAGAACACTTTTGCTCATTCCCTTTTCCCTCTCATTTGCAATTTTCTTCTCTCCACCTCCTCATCATCATCATCATTATTATCATCGTCGTCATCGTTGTTAGTGGTTTTCATCTTCCTCCTCCCCATTTTTTAGATTTCGCCCTCAAGTTAATGAGATTCCCCAGCAAAGACGGGGTCTAACCGGTTCGCTCTGTACTTCTTACGCAGACAATACCCTGTCGCGGATGCACGGACGCCTCAACCCAACCCTGATGTTCCCTCACCCCATAAACACTTAAATAGCGAAAGAGCACGAGTCTACTACTTTGGTTGAATCCCGTACAAGCGCTCCCAATGCCAGCTTTATGGCTTAGTCGATTCCAAGCATGTCCATCCCCCCGGTTATTTATCACGTTCTGTGTTCCTATACAGGGGCATTTGTCATCAAAGGTTTGTCCGGGGTTGGGAAATTTGTCATTTATGAATGTCTTATTTTGCTACCACTTTATAAAAGGACAATATATGCCACATAAAAGTACACAGTCGCAACCTTATTGAAGAAAGATTTGGTATCTAACTCCTTTACAGTAAACCACTCCGAAGAAAGTTTGTTTGCTTATGTACGTGACATAACCTGACCCGCCTCCGACTCGCTGTCGTTGCTGATACTGCTGGTGGTCGGTACGTGTTCGTAACACGCAAGTTGTCCACGTTCATTGAGTTCGTTGCTGTCTGGGGTGGGTTCGCTGGAGTAGACCTAAACGCAAGACAATAATCATGCTAGAAGGCAAGTCAAACGTGTTAAGGAAAAGCACACAAAAAAGGAGATGTAGCTTTACAAGAAATAGGAGGGTCAGATATG